TTATGTTATTTCAATTCTAGTTTTTATTCAATTATTCTGTTTTCGCATTATTCGTTGTTTGTTGGCTGTTATCTTACATCACCGTATCAATACTAAGCCTTAAAGTCACTACGAGAACGCCCTCAGAGCAAAATTCTGCGCACTGCAGATTTTGCTGCTGTGACGACCGTCACAGAACCCTGACGAGCGTCACGCGGGTGACGACCGTCACGAATTCAAAAACTGATATCTGATAAAACAGGGTTCGTGTTCTCTTCCACTACCCCCATTACCACTTCCGAGCATCCTAACTCCTACCCCACTACAAATTTTCGTCCTCCCCACGTTGAACTCTATATTTCAACTCCAATCTCAACTTCCAAACCACACTTCTGTCAGTTCTTCCCACTCTGCAGAAAAACCCCAATCTTCAGAAACCTCTCCATCTTCCAACAATGGCAAGGAATGCAGAAACCCCAGATATCAGCACCATTATCTTCAGTGAAGGAGACTTAGGCGAAAGACAACGAGCAAACTACATCGCATTTCATCAGAGGTCGCTCCAGCCGACTCATTATCCGCACCTTCCATCACTTACGAAGCTCGGACTCCTTGAAGGCGTAACCTGGATGCTTCAAAGAGCAGGCATCTGGAACCTCTGCACCAACCCACTGCCAACATACGAACAACTCACTCTTGAGTTCTTGAGTTCGTTCACTTACGCCACATCCAGCGGCGAACTTAGCCAGCACTCAGGTGCCGCATGCTTCCGGATGTTTTGCACCAACTATCAGGTGAACCAAAATCAGATTGCCAGCATCCTACAACTACCTCGCGGCGATAACGCTCATCGCCGCATCACCGATCAGTTCCAGCACGAAGCTTTTGCGCTGTGGTATCAGTTGACCGGCATCAATGCCGATGGTTGGGACTCCCTGCACGTCACTCATATACATAACCCAATCATCCGGTACTTTCACAGAGCGTTGAGCAACACTATTTTCGCCAGAGACAGCAATCACAAAGTGAACTCGAAAGAGCTCTTCTTTCTCCATTGCGTCTTCAACAATGAGCCTGTCAACGCTGCTCCGTTTCTGCTGGCTCATATTCAGGCCAACTGCAACCGTGGCTCGAAGCCATTCTACTTTGGCGGGATTGTCACTGCTATTGCACTTGGGCTGAACCTTGGCAACCGCCTCCAGCACCTCCATTCCATCCCCTCGGTGTTCCTTGACACCGACCACTGCAGAGCCTCTCATCTTATCCGCTCCCGAGCTGACGGAAAATACCATCCGGTAGTGCGTGGCAAGATCGTCCGAAGCATCATCCTTCCGTCCCGCACCCGCACACACCCAGAGGACCGTACCAACTGGTTGTTCGACCTCACTGCCCCTCCTGCTGCCGCTTTTCCTACTCAGGATCACACTCACGGTTCCGACGATGAAATCCAAGCTGAGTTGGACAGGTCCGAGCAGCCAGAGGCATCGCAGCCTCCTCCTCCCGAAGGTACATCCTCTCGCCGCCGCCGACATCATCCCGTGCCAGACTACACAGAAGAAGACCTCCGCCGCTCCCTAGACCAGCAGGCACAGATACTCGCGATGCTGCAGCAGCAGAATCAGCGAGCTGACCAGTTCGAAGCTTGGCACCGGACTCAAATGCAACAACTTCACACTGGCCAAGCTACTATCACTGAGAGCCTGGCGAATCTGACCTTGCAGGTCGAAGGACTCCGGGACACCGTCTACCACACAGGTGCTATGAGTTATGAGGACCGAGTAGCCCTCGCCAGAGCCAGAGGACGCCAGCGCGGACGTGACAGAGGCAGCGGACGTGATTAGTTTTCCATTTTTCCTTCATTGTTTACTATATTTCAGTTATTTGTACTTTCATTTCAGTTGTATCTCCCTCTCGCATGCTTCACAAATCAGTGAGGACACTGATTGAGATAGTGTGGGAGCGGAGCCTTTATTTCCATTCCACTGTACTCTGAATTTTCTTTATTTCCTTTATTTTCATTCCACTGTACTTTGAATTTTCGTAATTTCTATTTAAACACTTTCTATTTTTAGCAAATAAAGCTCGTCTATATACTTTTCCCGTTACGCAAACAATCCCCACATTATTCAACGTAAACAAAAACTTTCGTTCGTTCCTCAAAAGCAAAAGCACCACGAGAATGCATTCAAGTTCAAAACAAGTTTTGAAACTCCGAGGAAACGACAGTTCTAACAAAACCAGTACCGTCCTGACACCTTAGATCTCCAGTTCATGCGAGTCGGTTTCACTACCTACGCGTACCAAAGTCTCAAGCGTCTACGCAAACTCAACCCCAAGTAGTTTATACTAGCAGTCAGCACCATCCTAAAGCACTACTAAGCGAGCGACCGATGCAAATAAGTGTATGATCTCCAAAAAGATGAAAAATCATGAAAAGAGAGCTAAATAGCCCAAAAATATAAGACACGTTTCCTTCTAAGTTAGGTGCTCCTCACCCGAGCATTTAGCCCAACGGCACGAAAACTCATTGAAAAATCAATGACATAAGCTTATGATCAATGAAGAAGATCAAAAACAGAAATGAGATCATATTCACTATCAGGTCGACTTGCCATGAAAGTGTACGGACAACGGGCTTAATGTGATTGCGCTAGAACAAACAGGGTGAACTTGCCGCGAGAACCTTGACACCAAGCTACAGTAGCATGACTGGGACCGATTTGCATAAAAAGGAGACCTCCGAAGACTTGTAGTCTAGTGTCGTCATGATACTCGTTTTGTTCCTACCAAGAATCCCGGTTTTTCCCGACTTTTGCGAACAAAGAAGCTGCCTCGTGCTTGCCGACTTTTTCATGTTTTACTTGAGGACAAGCAAAGATTCAAGCTTAGGGGAGTTTGATAACACGAAATCATATAGATATTTTTATGCATAATTCAACTAAAGTTTAACCGTTTTCGATCCGATTTCGGGTTATTTCCGTGTTATTTGTCTGATGTTTTGCAGGTATTCAACGATCACGTCTAAACAAGGCAACATGAAGAAAAGAAGCAATCTCAGATGAAATACGGACGAAAAAGGAGTGAAAACATCATGAAAAGCGCAGGAAGCTGTTTTTGCTGATGTGACGACCGTCACAGCTACATGACGAGCGTCACACGGGTGACGACCGTCACACCTTGTGACGACCGTCATGCAGGCAAAAACGCCCCACTTCAATTACACGTTAAAGAATCAGTTCCAATTCCCACAGAGTGGACCATTACTCCCTAAATTATCTGCCTCAAAGTCCATCATCTTCAATGATAACCGTTGGAATTCCACTTCTATAAAAAGGGAAGAAAAGGACCTCAGAAGGGGTGCTGCATTCATACAACGAAGTGCTGCCAAATTTATTCCAGAGCATATTTTCCAGCAATATTCTTATTTGTTTCTCTTTACCTTTCCTGTATTCTATTTTTTCATTCTTCTATAATTTCTACTTTCATTGTAAGATCAAATTGGCATTAGAGATCAGAATCCTGCCAACATCTGTGGAGGATCTGCCCAAAGGCCAATTGGAATATTTACAGGTTTCTCATTTCAATCGATTCCAGTTTTATTATAATGCAAATCATTATTTATTGTTTTTATTTATGTTTTATCTTTCCCAAATCCATGTCTAGCTAAACTTAGGTAATCGATATGTAGTAATAATTCGAATGGGATTTGATAACAACTGGTTGAAAAACTTTCTTTTCAAAAGTAACTTATGGTCTGAGTGTTTAAAATTGATTTACTGAATAAACTTCGTCGCGAAAGCGAGAACATATTTAAAAGTAGTTTTGCCACGAAAGTGGGAAATTAATTAAGATACGAACCAACAAGCGAAAGCTGCAGTAAGGTCAGATAGTAAACACTAGTCATTCATTTTAATAACAGCGAAAGCACTTTAAAATGAATTAGAACTTAGAGATTTCCAAAAAATAATTTTAACCCCGAACGGGATACGAAAGTGTACGTTTGGCCCTTAGGATTATGATTAGCGTCAATAACCATCGTGAGGCGAGAGTCTTCAAATCACCATTTTCTGCTTAAATAAACTTTGAAAATTATTTCATACACCAGTAACTTATCAAATCCCTGAAGAACACAATTACTACATATCAATTCAATCATTTATAATCTAAGTAGCATTCTTAGTTCCCTTTTAGTGACAATCTTATTCCCTTAAACATATTCTACCTAGCTAAACATAGTAACTCCCGAGAACACTAGTTTGATTACGAGTCCCTGTGGGATCGATATCTATTATTACTACGCGATAGACTGTGCACTTGCAGTTAGGTTGTATTAGACATAGAAAGTCGCGATCACTCTACTAAGGAGGAGGACAGGTTCCTTCTAGTTTCACATTCTAGTCAAGCAGTCGGATATTGGAACTGATTCTACACCCATAATTTGAATTATGGGTCACATCTATAAATTCTCAAGTCTCCAAAATTTAGAGGATTATTCATTTTTCACATATTAACCATCCAAAAACTCTCATTATTCCACGCAAGTATGGTCTACATTATTGTATTTATCAAATGTAGTGTGTACACAATTATTCAAATAACTTCTAACTAAGTGAATTATCTAACTTAAGCTAACCTTAACATATATTACTAGTTGATTAGAGAATGACACAAAATGAACTTTTATTTCCCTCCAGCTAAATGGAATCAATGGATTCAACACTGCACCTAAATTAAACTGCACTACCATACCACATCCAGTTATTATAAGTCACACATTTTACAACCAATGACCGTTAATATCATTTGTCTCTGCTCCAATTCCTATCCTCTCTTAAACCTTATCTGGCCACACATTATGGCAACATGAAATCATATAAAACAAAACAACCATAAAATCCTTCCTTTGTCTTATCACATTCCACTGCTCCTCCTGCATTCTTCTCCAAATTATTATGAATAAAATCACAACTATTTGAAATAAAATATAACTACAATTAATAGAAAAAAAGAGAGAATTGAACATGTTGGTGGCTGAATTGAGTGGTACAAACCTTGATATTCCTGAGGAGTTGCTGCAAGCCCTACCATCCGATCCATTCGAGCAGCTCGATGTGGCTCGCAAAATCACATCCATTGCCCTTTCGACGCGTGTCAACGCGCTCCAATCGGAAGTCGCGGCTCTACGCGCCGAGCTCGCCGAGAAAGATGAACTTATCGCGGAGCTCCAGGCTCAGTTAGAGGCTCCCCACGCCACTGTTGCTGAAGCCGCGGATAAGCTTGCTCTCGCGGAACAAGATAAGGTCTGAATTCTGAACCGTATCGTAAACTGATTAAACATGGTTCGATTTGCTCGAATTTTTTCGAAATTCTGATTTGTTTTGGTTGAGATGATGAACATTATAGGAGAGGCTGGTGAAGGAGAATGCTTCACTTTCCAGCACAGTGAAGAAGCTCAGTAGAGATGTTTCCAAGGTGCAAATTATTGATTTTTCTACATAATTCTTAATATTCATTTTAGGAAATGTGGTTTATTAATTTTTATTTTTTTTTTGACAAATTGATTCATTAATATATGAGTATGCATGCAGTTGGAGGTTTTTAGAAAGGCACTAATGCAATCACTTCAAGAGGATGAAGAAAAACCCGTAAGTTATTGTTATTCCGAATAGTATAAGATTATGTTTGAATTAACATTTTTAAGGATACATTTAACATGGATTTTTTATAAATAGTTTAAGGGAAAAAAATATACACCAACAAATCATTCTAAATTTCAACAATGTACGTTCTACTACATCACCCTTTAATTTTAAAATTGTATTAATGGCATGACAAATTAATAAATTTTTATTAAATAACTCTTCAAAATTCATTGTTATTAAGGTACCTAGTTGTCACTTATCATTCTCACGGTGTTAATACTCACATATGTCTGAATTAGTTAAAAAGTTAGAAATAGTTCTTTTTCAATTATTTTAAGAAAAATGTTACATCAAAACATACGCTATATGTACTCATCAATATAATGAAGAGTTAAATATTATAATTATAAAATAATTTTTTTAAATTAATATACAATATTTTTATTTTTTATTTTGCAATAAGAAATAATGTGTGAGGAACCAATTTCATAACATCAAAAGTTAATCATTTCATTATTTAACTTTATTTTACTATTAAAATTTATTTTTATATACTAATGTTTATTAATCAACTTCATAATTTTATTAACTAATTTTTTTATTTTATTAACCAACTTTATTTTATTATTAAAAATTATTTTTAATATACGAATATCTATTAATCAATTTCATCATTTTTATATTTTATTAATCAACTTTATTTTACTATAAAAAAATCATTATTCGAGCACTGTGCAACGGACTCTATTCATGCACATATTATTGTTTGCATTACACTATTTATGTAACTATTTATGTATAATTTCACTATTTTATAAACAATGCATACGATATAATACGATATAGGTGTAAGTGTGAATATAGAAGTACCATTAATATTATTTTAAATAAAATATAACAGTTATTTTTATCATTTTATTCAAAAACTTATATTTTACTTAATTAATTGTTAAATTCTTTAAACAAAATATAATAACTTCGTTTTTTTTATTATCTTAAAGTGTGTTCTTTATATTAAATGTGATTAAAACTCATTTTAAATAACTTTGAATCACATTTCAAAAATTCTTAACGTAGATTTATATGAGGGAACAGTTTTCATCCTACCAATCGATTTTGTAAAATTGAGTTAGGTTCAATCACATTATTAACATGGTATTAACATTTGATTTAAAGATTTGATGAGTCTTCTGCAATGAAGTTTTTGTTAACGGACCATCAACCATTTATTTCTACGCTTTAGATGTCCAATCTTGAACATGAGAGGGTGTGTTAAGAGTTTCATATCGAATAATATATAGCTTGAACATGTTTTTATAAATGAGGACATACCTCACTCTACCAACCAATTTTATAGGGTTGAGTTACGTCCAATCACATTTTTTAACATGGTATCAAGTGTATTTTGTTTAAAGATTCAGTGAGCCACCTATTATGGTTTCCACAATCGAGTCACCCATAATTTATTTCTATACTTCAGTTGTCTAGTCCTAAACTTGAGGGTTGTGTTAAAAGTCTCGTATCAGATAATATATGACTTGAACATGTGTTTATAAGTGGCGGCAGTCCTCACCCTAGCAAACGGTTTTGTAGGGTTGAGTTAGACCCAACCTTATCAACTAATTTTGTAAGGTTGAGTTAGGGTCAATCACATTTCTTAACAGAAATAAATGATAGGTAGTCCGATAGCAGAAACCTAATAATAGGTGGCCAACCGGATCTTAAACGAGACTTTGGATATTATGTTGAGAAATGTGATTAGACCTAACTCAATCATACAAAATCCACTTATAAAGTAAAGATTGTCTCCAATTATAAAGGCATGTTCAAACCATATATTATCTGATGTGAAATTCTAAACACTTATAAATAATAAAGTTAACAACCCATATTTAGACATTCGACGACACAAAGAATTAAGGTGAGATTTAAATACAATTTCAATATTGCAAATACAACTTCAATACTTAACTTCAAAACTATTTAGAATTTAAAAAAAAAAATTGAAAGCTTATCACCAAAAACAATTCAAAGCTTGTGTCCTATTAATTAAAATGGATATTTCATGATAAAATGTTCAACAAATATACAAAACATTCCATTAATAAATAGTAACACATTTCCATAAAATGTAGTTATTGCTTGCAGTGTTTTAAAAACCAGACCGATCATTGAACCGGTGAGGATACTGGGTCACTGGTTTATCGGTTGAACCACTGGGTCACTGGTCGAACCGCATGACTAAATTGGATTAAACCGGATAACTCAGTTGAATAGACCTGTCATTATATAGATATAAAACCGGTCGAACCGAATGATTCAGTTTCTAAAAAAATATAACTAGTACTTAAATTTTTTAAAAATATCATATCATAAATTCACAAGTTCATAATTTAAATTTAAATTTTAAACAAATGTATTACACATAACAAAATAATACAAAATTACAAAATAATTGCAGTATAATCTAATTTTAAACTTTTTTTTTTAATTTTTATAAAATTTTGTATTTAAATTTTAATTAAAAAATAAAAAATGCATTAGAACCGGTCCAACCCTAAACCCGGTTTTTCTCGGTCCAACCCGGTTTTTTCTGGTTTTTACCGGTTTGATGACACAGACGATCGAACTAGTAAACCAGACCGGTTACTAGGCCGGTTCCCGGTCTAACCGGTCTGACCGGCCGGTCCGGTCCGGTTTTTAAAACACTGATTGCTTGATGTAAGATTTCACATATGTGCAGGGAGGGTCATCCAACGTTGCAGCTATGTTACATAGTCAAGCAAGTATCACTTCAACATCTCACCTTGGAGGTACTTTCAACTCTTTCACCATCATTTTCCCAACAAAACAACAATTTTGATGATTAAGTTCTCATTTCATTGCAGATGAAGATGCTTCATTGCCACCTAGATCTTCTTCAATGCGAAACAACACTTTTGATGCAGCAAATTCCTCTGCAGACGACCGTGAATCTGATGGTATATATTTACTATGTATCACATAACTATGTGTCTATCTTGATCATTGTTTCTAGCATTACATTTGTTTTTGTTTTCAAAAAATTGTAGGTGGTGGAAGATCTCAAGTATCATCAATACCATCACATAGCTTTCTGTTAGCATCCCAAACTACGACGCCTCGCCTTACTCCTCCTGGTTCTCCTCCTATTGTTTCTGCATCTGTATCACCAACAAGAACATCTAAACCTCCCTCTCCGCGGCGCCATGCGGTTTCTCTTTCAATTGATAGGACTTCATCAGTGTTTTCGTCTCATGGTTCAATGTCTAGCTATGCAGGCACAGGTTCACAAACTGGTGAGTTTCTGCTAGCTCAAGCTCATTGTTCATCACTTTAATGAATTTTTCTTGCATATATATATGAATCATGAAAGATATGTAGTCACGAGTTTTTCTTTTCTATTTCTCAGCACGAACTCGGGTGGATGGAAAGGAGTTCTTTCGTCAAGTCAGGTACGAACGACCTTGCTCGATAAACAACTTAATTAAGTACTTATGTTATACTGATTTCATGTAAGTTATAAGTTGAAACTTCTATTAATTTTTCCTTGTATGTTATCATTAGGAGCCGTTTGTCTTATGAGCAGTTTGGTGCATTTTTAGCAAATGTTAAGGAACTGAATTCCCATAAACAAACAAAAGAGGTGAATCTTCAGGAACTTATTCCTTCTTTTTGTTATGGTAGCATTTGTATGAGTTATGTTAATTTCATTCCTATATATTGTGTGTGTGAAATTGCAGGAGACACTAAAGAAAGCTGATGAGATCTTTGGGCCTGAAAACAAAGATCTCTACACTATATTTGAAGGGTTGATCACTCGTAATGTTCAATAATTTATTATTCTTGAGGATGTTTAATCATATAGAATGATTCCTAGCTTGTAATATATAGCCAGATATTTCATCTACTTTCAGCATTTTTTTACAACTGTGACTTACAAATTTGTTGTTTTGTGGAAAACTGTATATTCTTTTAAATTTTCTTAAATGTAAGTTTAGGAATGACTTTTTTATTTAGAAATCAGACCTTTTGTGACTTACAAATTTATTGTTTTATGGAAAACTGTATATTCTTTTAAATTTTCTTAAATGTAAGTTTAGGAATGACTTTTTTATTTAGAAATTAGAGCTTCTGTGACTTACAAATTTATTGTTTTGTGGAAAACGGTATATTCTTTTAAATTTTATTAAATGTAAGTTTAGGAATGACTTTTTTATTTAAAAATCAGAGCTTTTGTGACTTGCAAATTTATTGTTTTGTGGAAAACCGTATATTCTTTTAAATTTCCTTAAATGTAAGTTTAGGAATGACTTTTTTATTTAGAAATCAGAGCTTGTGTGACTTACAAATTTATTGTTTTGTGGAAAACTGTATATTCTTTTAAATTTCCTTAAATGTAAGTTTAGGAGTGACTTTTTTATTTAAAAATCAGAGCTTTTGTGACTTACAAATTTATTGTTTTGTGAAAAACTGTATATTCTTTTAAATTTCCTTAAATGTAAGTCTAGGAATGACTTTTTTATTTAGAAATCAGAGCTTTTATCTATAAAACACGACGCTGGAAACACAACGGTAAAACGACACCTTAATATTATTATGATGTAATTCAAATCCAGTTAACATTTCATCATTTGATTGAATTGCATTTTAGTTTGAATGTGTATATATAAGTAGAAGCTGAGTTTTCAGTTGTAACCAAATTTTTCATTCAATAGAAGTTAGTTACGTTTTTTCTCTTTTCTCTCTTCCATTTTTATCATCTTCATCTTCTCCCTTCTTGTGCCCCAATAATTGGTATCTAGATCTCTGGTTCGGATCCACAGAAAACACCACGGGAAACACGAATGTACGTGAGCCGTGTGTGATTGATTTCGTTTCGTGAATTCACATTGAATTTAGGATCGGAATTGGAACAAAATCACATTTCTTGATTATGAGAGATTGGGAAACACGAGTGTTTGGTGAGATTTGAGTGAAATCTTGCACAAGATCGAAGATGAACGGTGGAAACGCTAGCTTGAAGCATCAACAGTGAAGCATCAGCAAAGAAGGTGAAGCTTCATAGTATACGTAAGTAGTATGAGAATCTCAACATGAAGAACAATGAGAATGTACCTTATTATATCTCTAGAGTGATTCTGATTACAAAAAAAATATGAAATCTTTTGGAGATACTCTATCTGAACAGATAATCATTAAAAAGGTACCGAGATCACTTACTTCTTAGTTTGATTACATTATTGTAACAATTGAACATTCTAAGGATCTAAGCACCATGAGAATTAAAGAGCTACAGAGCAGTCTAGAGACACAAGAGTTGCGTCTGACTGGGAGAACCTCTGAAAGAGAGGTAGAGCAGGCTCTAAAGGCGTCTTCTGAAGAATTAGAACTAGTCTTGGTTAGAGACCAATAAGAGACATGGTGGTGGTTCTCAGAATTCAGAAGTCTCCAACTCTAATGAGAAGAAACGTCAAAAGGGAAAGGATAAGTATGACAAGAAAAATTTTAAATGCTATTGTTGTAATAAATTTGACCACTTTGTTACTGACTATTAGTCAAACAAGGAAAGGAAATCATAAGAAACAAACATAGCCAAAGGAGAGTCTGATGATAAATCTGTGCTATTGATGGCTTCTGAATTCGATGGTGGATATTTGGTAGACTGGTGGTATATGGACAATAACTGCTCAAATCACTTAACTATAAACAAACAATGGCTGATAGATTTTGACTCTAGAAAGAGGACAAAAATCATATGTGTTGATGATAAGTATCTGAATGCTGAAGGAATGGGAAATGTCAAGGTCATAGTGAAGAATGGACAAATTGTTATGATCAAGGATATTTAGTATGTTCATGGCATGAAAAGAAGTATGATGTGTGTAGATCAGCTGATGGAGAAAGCTTTTCAGTTACTATGAAGGACAATCTCTTGAAGTTGTATGATTTTGATCAAAAGCTGATTATGCAGCCTGGAAGGGAAGCAACAGAACATTTAAGGTGAATGTGTAAATAGCTGAAACTAAATGTCTTAGTGCTGAAGGTACGAAGGTGACAGTGAGTTGTGGCACGAGAGATTGGGACATTTGAACTTCAAAAACTTAGGACAATTGAGTTATAAGAAGCTGGTATATGGCATTCCTAAGATTTTAAAGACTGAGAAGTCATGTGAGGTATGCATGAAAGGCAAGCAACCAAGATTGTCATTTGCATCAGAAGTATCCCCAAGAGCAAAACATGTTTTAGGAGTAGTGCATTATGATGTATGTCGACCATTTAAAGTACATTCATTTGGAGGAAATAAGTATTTTATGTCTTCCCTGGATGAGTTCACAAGGATGACATGGGTAGCACTCATCAAGTTTAAGCATGAGGTGTTTACCGAGTTTCAAAAGTTCAGGGTGAAGGCTGAAAATCTGAATGGTCAGAAGCTAAAAATTCTCAGAACTAATGGTGGAGGTGAGTACAACTCTAATGAATTCAGAAGGTTTTGTGAGGAGAATGGAATTGAGCATGAGGTTACTACTCCATACAATCCTCAACACAATGGTCTTGCTGAAAGAAGAAACGTAACTTTTCTTGATATAACAAAGAGCATGCTGAAGAAGAAGAAGCTCCCTCACACCATGTGGGGAGAAGTTGTTTCCACTGCAGCATATATGCCGAACAGGTGTCTAACGAAGAAGCTGAAGGAAAATTTTCCTTTAGAAAAGTGAACTGGAGATAAGCAAAGTGTAATCCATCTAAAGGTATTTTGTTTTGTTTGTACAAAAATGTTCCAGATGCTAAGAGAATGAATTTGGATGACAGAAGCAGAGTCATGTTGCTTGTAGGGTAGCACATTACATATGCTTATACGCTTTATTGTCCTGTCACTAACAAAGTTGAATTCAGTAGAAATGTCATTATGAAAGAATCATAAGCGTGGGATTGGAACAAATCTCAATCCAACTCTGGTGTAGTGTTAACACCTGAGTTAACTTTAGAAGATATTTCAGATTCTAAAGGGAAATCTTCCGCTGAAGGAGATTATACTTCTTAATATGAGTTTGAGTCTGAAGGTGACTATGATGCTGAAGACGAGTCTGAAGGTAACGAGTTTAACTTTAAAGATGAATCTGATTTTGATCCATATTCTGATGATGATCAAGACTCTGATGGTAACCATGCCTTTGAAGGTGGTCATGCCTCTGAAGGTGGACCAAACTCTGAAGGTAGTCCAATATCTGATATTTTTCCAGCGTCTAAAGAAGATTCTGAACAAGTACATAGACCATAAAGAATCAGACAAATACTAAGAAGATTTGCAGAGTTTGACATAATGTGAGATACTTAGATAGAACGAGAGGGGAAGTCATTTAGTGTGTCATGTTGGTAGACTCTAAACCAATGAGTACTGAAGAAGCTCTCAAGAAAAAAGTGTGGCTGAAGGCCATGAAAAAGAACTTGAGGTTATAGAAAGAAATAAGACTTAGGAGTTTACTGAGCTTCTAAAGAACAAGAAACTCATTAGTGTGAGATGGGTTTATAAGGTGAAACTAAAGCCAGATGGATCTATTGGCAAACACAAAGCAAGGTTAGTAGCTAGAGGATTTTTACATAAATATTGTATAGATTACTTTGAAGTGTTTGCACCTATAGCTAGACATGAAATAATCAGACTGATGATGTCTATAGTTGCTAGTAGAAATTGGCCTTTAATGCATTTAGATGTGAAACCTGTATTTCTGAATGGTCTTTTATAAGAGTGTGTCACAACCTCCTAGATTTGTGAAAAATAATCAGAAAAAGATAGTGTACAAGTTACATAAATCCTTGTATGGGTTGAAACAAGATCCTAGAGTTTGCAATCTTAAAATTGATTCATTTATTAAGCTTCAAGGATTCAGAAAATATGAGATGGAGTATGGTGTTTATGTTCAGCATACATCTAATAACAATATGGTTCTGGTCTGTCTCTATGTTAATGACATATTGCTAACAGGGAGTTATTCATATAAGATAACTAAGTTCAAAAAGGTGTTGATGAACGAGTTTGAGAGGACTGATCTAGGAAATATGACATATTTTCTAGGGATGGAGATTTTTTACTTTGATAAGGGTATAATTTTGCATCATCTAAAGAATGAAATTGAGCTAATGAATTGCAAGTCTGCAATCACACCTGCTGAAACAAATCATAAGTTAGATTCTGATGTTGAGGATGATGATGTGGATGCTACAATTTTCAAACACTTGGTAGGCTCATTAAGATATCTCTGTAATACCAAACTTGGAATTTTCTATGCAGTTGGAATGGTGAGTAAATTTATGAACAAATCAGAGTCGTCACATTACCAAGTTGTTATCAGGATACTGAGGTATATTAAGGGGACTCTGAAGTGTGGAATTTTGTTCCCCTCTGATGTTGAATTTGATTCAGAGCTCAGGTTCTTTTCAAACTCTGATTGGTGTGGAGATAGAGTTGACAAAAGAAATACTTCTGAATATTTCTTCAAGTATCTGGGAGGTCATATTTCTTTATGCTCCAAGAAACAACCAATTGTTGCATTATCAACCTATGAAGTTGAGTATATTACAGGTGCTTTGACTACATGTCAAGTTGTGTGGATTATGAACTTATTACAAGATTTGAAGATCAAGGTGAGAAAGCCTATGAAGTTGATGATTGAAAACAAATCAACTATAAGCCTTGTCAAGAATCTAGTGATGCATGGAAGGAGCAAGCATATTAAATTACTTGAAGTTATGCACTGTAGCACTCAGAACCAACTAGCAGATGTAATGACTAAGGCAATCAAGACTAAACACTTTACCCATTTGAGGAATGAAA